TCTAGAAAAACAGCACTGGGTAAACCACAATTATTTGTTACGATAGCCAAATTTAGCCAAACTGACATGTGAATTAACGATGGTTTGGGAAAACAAGCTCTGATGTGCTCTGGTTCAAATGAAACAATCTCCCCACCCCCTTTATTGGTTGTAGTACTAAAGTGTTTTGGAAACAAAAAGTTAAATTGCGTTTTTTGGTGGGGAGGAAAACTGCCTGCATCTGGAAGCAAGTGTTCCTCACATTCTCCAAGTTCTGTGTGTTTAGTATTTTTGGCAATGGATGAGAAGGCAGTGGCGGGCCTACATTTTTGGAGTCCTGAAGTTTGTACATTGGTACCTTGGGTTACAGACGCTTCAGGTTACAGACTCTGCTAACCCAGAAATAGTGCCTCGGGTTAAGAACTTTGCTTCAGGATGAGAACAGAAATCGCACAGAAGTGGTGCGGTGGCAGGAGGCCCCATTAGCTAAAGTGGTGCTTCAGGTTAAGAACAGTTTCAGGTTAAGAACGGACCTCCAGAACGAATTAAGTTCTTAACCCAAGGTATCACTGTACTGCCATGGAGCCCGCTTCTCAACCAGCCATGAGGTTTGGATAACCACAGTTACTTTCTTCAGTGGGTTGGTCCATAATAGATCACCGCACCTTTACAACATCCATGCTACTGACTCTCAAACTTTGGGGTTTTTGAAATATATACCATACCCTCCAAAGTGTCCCAATTTTCTAGGGACAATTCCGGAATTACAAAAGCCACCCCTGCTTCTGATTTGATCCTGTGATGTCCCTATTTCCCCTGCCAGTGCCACCATCACTGAGCTTGGGGACGAGGAAGAACTTGTCCCAAGCAGTGGTGGCAGCGGTGGCAGCTGCGAGGCAGTATCGTGTTGCCTCTCCATGGCTTCTCTATGGTGCTGTCCTCCTCCCTTGGGCAGCTCATAGTGGCAGCTGCGAGGCAGCATCGTGTTGCCTCTCCATGGCTTCTCTATGGTGCTGTCCTCCTCCCTTGGGCAGCTCATAGTGGCAGCTGCAAGGCAGCATCGTGTTCCCTCTCCATGGCTTCTCTATGGTGCTGTCCTCCTCCCTTGGGCAGCTCATAGTGGCAGCTGCAAGGCAGCATCGTGTTGCCTCTCCATGGCTTCTCTATGGTGCTGTCCTCCTCCCTTGGGCAGCTCATAGTGGCTGCTGGGCAGGGCCACCTTGGGTGGGAAGAATGGGTGTGTGGAGTACAGGGAGTCTCATTTTTTACAACAATCTTTATTATGGTCCAGAGACCCAACAAATCGTTACAAAGCAATACATAATTCATACAGTCTACCTCCAGGTAAAACAAGCATTTTGTTCAGAATATAGGGATCATTGGTTCTTGCAACCACCGATAAAAACTTTGCCACTGCTAATGTTCTAGCATTTGTCCAGTCTTCCAGTAGGAACCTGACATAGTGAGCCTCTGATTTTGCCGGGAAAGGTACCAACAAGGGTAGTATCAGTTCAGCCCTGGCTTGCTCATATTTTGCACAGTGCAACAAAATATGTTTTATGGAATCGATGTCTTGAGCACACGAGCAAAGTCTGTCCTGGTAGGGAACACCTCTCAACCTGCCATCCAACACTGCAGAAGGAAAGACGTTTAGTCTGGCTTTGGTGAAAAGCCTTCAATAATTTTTTAAAAAAATGCTTTGTGCATCTGTGTCCAATCTTGCCCCTTCCTAAAATTTATGTATCGGTGTGTGTTTTTCTTTTTGTAAATCTACGAAAGAATAAACTAAAATAAAATTGGGACTAAAGGGTTTTCATCATCATCATCATCATAATTTTTATTTATACCCCGCCCTCCATGGCCAGAGCCAGGCTCAGGGCGGCTAACACCAGTAAAAATACAGTAAAAACATAATAGGGAAAAAACACAACAATTTAAAATACAGGTTAAAATGCAATTTAAAATGCAGCGTCATTTTAAAAGTATCCCATAGATCAAAACCATAAGGGGAGGGAAACATAAGGGTCAGACTGAGTCTAAACCAAAGGCCAGGTGAAACAGCTCTGTCTTGCAGGCCCTGCGGAAAGATTTCAAGTCCCACAGGGCCCTAGTCTCTTGTGACAGAGTGCTGCACCAAGTCAGGGCCAGTACTGAAAAGGCCCTGGCCCTAGTTGAGACCAATCTAAGCACCTTGTGGTTTGGGACCTCCAAAATGTTGTCATTTGTGGACCTTAAGGTCCCCTGTGGGGCATACCAAGAGAGGCGGTCCTGTAGGTACCTGGGTCCTAGGCCGCATAGGGCTTTAAAGGTCAAAACCAGCACCTTAAACCTGACCCTGTACTCCACCGGGAGCCAGTGCAGTTGGTAAAGCACTGGATGAATGTGATCCTGCAGCAAGGACCCCATAAGGAGCCTCGCCATGGCATTCTGCACCCCCTGCATCCTAGGATGTTTGCTGTGTCTCCTTGGTCTAGTGGTGGTAGCGCTCTCCTCTGATAGGAAATGCTTGGTGGGGGGAGGACAAAATGGGTCAGTTGGCGGGGGGAGTTAGAAATGTCCTTATTTTCATCTGAGGAATGTTGGAAGGTATAATATACACAAAAAATGATAATCAATTACAGTGGTACCTCGCAAGACGAATGCCTCGCAAGACGAAAAACTCGCAAGACGAAAGAGTTTTTCGTTTTTTGAGTTGCTTCGCAAGACGAATTTCCCTATGGGCTTGCTTCGCAAGACGAAAACGTCTTGCAAGTTTGTTTCCTTTTTCCTATGGGAAACCGTTTCAATGCATTCCTATGGGAAACTGTGCTTCGCAAGACGAAAAATTCGCAAGACAAAAAAACTCGCAGAACAAATTAATTTCGTCTTGCGAGGCACCACTGTAGAGTCATGTGGGACAGGTGGAGGGGTCTGAGAGCATTGGATTGTGGCAGCTTTCACAAGCAGGAGCCCATGTAGGCTGAACCTGAAAACAGTAGCAGTAGCATCAATGTAGCTGCACCACACTCTAATCCAGGCTTCCTCAAGGCTCCTCGGGCTTCCCTTTTGGCCTACAACTCCCATTATCCCTAGCTAGCAGGACCAGTGGTCAGGGATGATGGGAATTGTAGTCTCAAAACATCTGGCGGGCTGAGGTTGAGGAAGCCTGCTCTAACCCCAAACCACTTATTCCAGAGCAGTTGATGTAGGAAAAAGCAGAAGCAACAATTACATTTAAAAACAATGCATCTCTTGGTTTATGCAGCCACAGCTGGAGCAGTTTTATGTCCAATTGCTCCTCCTTTTCTGGTATTAAAAAAAGACAACAACAACTTTCATAGTTCATCAGTTTCGGGTTTCTGCATCAGGCTTTAAATTATAATTTTGCTACAAGATGTTCAGCTTGCAACAGCAGCCGAAGCCTTCCCGAAGAAATCATTTGGCTCAGCCTAAATTAACTAAGACTAAACAAATATAAAAAGTGCCCAGGACAATTTCTTGTGGTTTTCAGCAAGGAGTGTGGTTGATTAGAGCATATTGGCAGATGTGTGTGTGAAATAAGGGGGGGAACGGCGGGGATGTTACCAACAGAAATAAAGCTCATAATCCATGCAACGTCTTATAACAGAGCCAGACTGGTTGCATTGCTTCCAGAAATTGGTTTGAGACATGTCAAGTAAATGTGTAGCTGTCACCAAGAATATAACTTACATTCCTGCTGTCCTAACCCCAGGCAACAAAAACTCCCTTTAAAATTAATGCTTATTGGCATAACACATCTAACCTCCCCCACCAAAAAACCCCTAGCACCTAAATTGCTGTCCTAGGAGGAAAATGTGGAGGGGCACCGCCGTGGCAATATACTGAAAAGATAATTGTTCACTGGAGCAATAAGGCTTGCAGTGTGGAAGGAATGCACTTGCTAAGGTTCTTTCTTTTTTAACTTTCCAATTAAGTAGTTATTCTTTTCTCCCACGAGAGGTTTGTCTGAAACTAGTTTAACATGTGTTCCTCATCTGTGTGAGCACAAAGGCAATTTGGCAATACTCCCCCAATGGAGAAGAGATATAGCAGCAAACACGTGTAATAGTATCTGCAGTAAAAGTGGACTCTTTTGATCCCATTATAGGACACTCACTGGTCAATTCTGCCCAAATACAACATGCTTTGCAAAATACCAGTTCCTTCGTCTGCCTCATTCACCTACAAATCAGGCCGGCTTAGATTTTGCTATTTCAATGAAAAGCAATGGGGGGGGGGGGGGTTTGATATAGAATAGAAGCCAGGACTTGTCTCCTGCCTTATCGTCTCGATTCCCATTGTTTTAAGCAATGTGATCCCTGCCCAGCTCCAATACTAGTGCATAGCTGTCAACTTACAGATTTGAAAATAAGGGACCAGCAGCCTTGAAAATAAGGGACCAGCAGCCAAAATAAGGGACCTGCAGCCTCACTTGTTCCAGGCACTCCAGTCTTCCTGTCCTCCTGCAGTCTGGTCAAACTCATGCTGGTAGCTTCGAGAACACTGTCCAACCAACTTTGTAACCAGAGGTTCAACTGAATAGAATCTGAATCACATGCACCACAAGGCCTATGCAGCCTCAACTTAAGATGGCTCCCCGGCCTGGCTTTGCACTGCAAAGTTTGCAGCAGCACGTGCAACAAAATGGCACCCAGCATTCAAAAACCCCCTCAGCTTGCATTAACTAGCCACACACAAGGCATGCAAGCTCCACCCCCAGTCGTTCTTAGACTTCTTATTGGGTGAGCAACACAGCCAAGCAACACAGTTGGAGCCTCCCTCCTCCCTGGCTGGCAGGGAGGGAGGGAGAGGAGCTGCTTCCTTTGAAATTTAAGGGACATAATTTAAGGGACATTTAAGGGACATCCATCAATAAAGGACAGCAGTGGGACATGGCGCTGGAATAAGGGGCTGTTCCTTCAAATAAGGGACACTTGACAGCTATGCACTAGTGGAGAGACAGAACTGGAGAAAATGTGTGCTGTTTTCACTGTTAAAAGCATTTCCCATAATGGAAAACCGTCTTGGACATAGCTCAGTTGGTTAGAGCACTGTGCTGATAATGCCAACATTGCGGGTTTGATCCCTGCATGGGACAGCTGCATATTCCTGCATTGCAAAGGGTTGTCCTAGTTCAGGCACAGGCAGCCTTCGGCCCTCCGCATGCTTTGGCCTACAACTCCCATGATCCCTAGCTAACAGGACCAGTTGTCAGGGATGATGGGAATTGTAGTCCAAAACATCTGGAGTGCCGAAGGTTGCCTGTGCCTGTCCTAGTTGATCCTCTGGGTCCCTTCCAACTATGGTTCTGTCTCTGACCATTGATTACACTGGCTGGAGCCCCAAAATGTTTGGAGGTCCACAGATACCTCTTTCCTGTTCTAAAGGTGCAGGAGTCATATTCTCCTCCTGATTTAGGTGACCATCTTTAACTGTGTATTTGAATGCACACTTTGGCATAATGACATTCCTTTATATGTTTGCAACGTTTTAAATTGATCACAGAGCAACATGGAGCAGGCTAGCACATCTAGCTGGGAGTATTATTACTTCTGTGCTCACTGCACTATCCTTTTGGATGTGGGAAATCCCATTTTCAGAGTCATAAACACCCTCCCACAACAGCTGTCATGAAGACAGCTGGAAACAGTAACTTTTCATAAGCTTGAGGAAGTAGATTGCTAAGTCTCTTTATTTGCTTAAGTAATTACTTGCATTGAATCTAGAATAAAACTCCATCTTTCTGCAACAAGTTCAGCTTAGCCTCCTTTTCTTTATACAGTGGTACCTTGGGTTACATACACTTCAGGTTACAGACACTTCAGGTTACAGACTCTGCTAACCCAGAAATAGTACCTCGGGTTAGGAACTTTGCTTCAGGATGAGAACAGAAATTGTGCGGTGGCAGTACGGCAGCAGCGGGAGGCCCCATTAGCTAGAAAAGTTTGGATTTGGATTTGATATCCCACTTTATCACTACCCTAAGGAGTCTCAAAGCGGCTAACATTCTCTTTTCCCTTCCTCCCCCACAACAAACACCCTGTCAGGTGAGTGGGGCTGAGAGACTTCAGAGAAGTGTGACTAGCCCAAGGTCACCCAGCAGCTGCATGTGGAGGAGCGGAGACGCGAACCCGGTTCACCAGATTATGAGTCTACTGCTCTTAACCACTACACCACACTGGCTCTAAAGTGGTGCTTCAGGTTAAGAACGAATAAAGTACTTAACCCGAGGTACCTCTGTACAGTATCACAGCCAGATAGTTGTGGTGCCTTTAAAGGAGTGGCAGTCAGTTTCCTAATTGTATGGGAGGTTTAAGCAGCCTCACTTCCTATTGTGAAGTCACTGACCACATATGAGGTGCAGGCTCTTACTGACATCAGTCTTGGCATAAGGTCCTAATTCCTCCATCCAGACAAGATGTTCTAACATGAAAGAAGCAAGACCCAAAGGCACTAGGTCTGTATGGGTGTGAAGAGCCTTATTTCAAAACCTTGTTTTGTGCAATGAGTGAGTGCTTTGTATTCTCAAAATCCCCACATACATTTTTGTAAGCCACTTCCCCCAGTATGGGGCTATTTTTTTAAAAAAATGTCATTTTCCTGAAGATAATGCGTTTTACATATACTTTCCCCTAATATGCAGATTTTTGTGCACATATTTTGATTTTTTTCCCCTGCATTGCAAAATTTGGAGAAGTGCACATTTCAAAGGACAGCTTCATTTCGGTTTGTGTATCGTTTCAGGAAGCACAAATTAGGTAGGTTCACATTAAAATTCAAACATATCACATCTCCCCATCCCACATCCCAATGGTTTACAGTTCCCATAGCTAGAACTCTTGCTGTTTTCTCCTCTCTTTTAAATCTTCCCTTCATTTACTTACTAAGAGAAGTCACAGCCGACCTGAAAAACTTTTTTTTTTAAAAAAAAGGTGTGAAAAAACTAGCCCAAAGGAAACAGCGTTTCTCCACCAAATGATAAAATGCCATGATATTCAGACATGCTATAGCCCATTATGATTTTCCTAACATGTTCTCTATATATGGTAAAGTCTCTTCTGGGAATCGATGGCAAAGAAATGAACTTGCTAAGGAAGAAGATGTGCAATTCTGATGGAAAGTGAACTAAAAGGTCATCACTGAATTAAGTTTCTTACTTTTTATGACTCTTCTATTCAGGTATGAAAATATGTAGACTGGGAAAAGCTAATAAAATTATTATTGCTTGGAGAGTGCCTTGAAATTAGGACTGCTCACTTGCAGGTATGAAATGACTTTCAAATGGTAGACCAGGGGCCATTTTGTACATTGCAGTATTTAGATATACACAGCTAAGAGTGTTAAGTGCACTTGAGGTTGATTTTCCATGGGTCTGCTTTTTAATTGTACCTAATGAAATCCCAAAGTGAGCATTGGTCTTAAGTAATATAGTAAATGGTTCAGAGTTCCTCGTTTTCAACACCGCCTTGAACTGTGGACTTGGACAATTAACTTATTTTCATAATAATCCACATAATTATATCAACATTAGGAGAATGCACATTTTGTCATTTCAGGTTGTGATCAGTTGGCGCATCTTCCTCCAGATCCTCAACATCTTTCTACTCATCTTCCTCCAAGTTCTCCAGAGATGCAAAGAAAGGTCACTTCCATTCTTGACAACTGCAGCAGATCTTGCTACCCTTTCAGATCCAGATTCCACTATGTCAGGTTCCAAATGTCATAATAACTTGCCCCACATCAAGCACTTGTGGTGACTGTCTCTTCATCATCTCCAGGATGGTGAGAGCTTGGAGGAACCAGCTAGGATAGTCATTATGACAGATGCCTGTATGTACAGCTTGGGTGTGTTTGTGTGTGGAATTTTAGTTCCAAGGACCCAATGTATTTTAAAAAATCAGTTGATGAAAATTAAGACAGCATCACAATATAGGACTCCCGTGACCTTTAACTAGATGGCCACATGTCCCACTGTGCAGAGTACAGCCTCTCTAGAAGAAGTCCTATATTTGAAAAGTCATCCAGTTCTTAAAATCATTAGTAGGATTGGAATATCACTTGTAGTTTAATGATGAATTTTGGATACAATGGAGAGATAAAAGATCTGAATTATTATAAAAGATGCAGGAGGAAAATGATTAACAGTAGGACCCACAAAGTGGAGGAGGGAAGTCCAAGAGATTCCTTGGAATCTAGTTTTGATGTTGTATGTTGGATATGTGAATGTAAAATTTCAATCTGAAAAAACAAATAAATAATTTTTTGGGGGGGGGGCAGAAAAGTCATACGGTCCAAGTCTGGTTGAGTGATAAACAACCATAAACAGGGACCCATCAAGAGTTGCCCATCAGGAGTTAGTTCCTGGATAACAGTCTGAGCAGGAATCACTATTTAGATTATAGTAATTATTTCTAAATTTGCATTTATGAACACAAATTAACACATGTACATTTTATGGGAATCTGCCCTTTCTATATTTCCTTTTTTTGGTCTACGACATATTTCCTCATTTTGGGCAATGTATGTGACTTTGAGCAAGCTCCAGTTGCCTTTGGGAAGAAAGACAAACCCACTTTAGACACCTAAGTTGTGGGACTGCATCAAAGTGTCCCCTTTTTAAAAGGCCTTTCCGGTCCATTTTGTAAACACACAGAGACTCACACACTTTGCCTCATATAAACCAACCTTCAGCCCCTCCTTCATGCTCAGTGCACTTTTTGTGTGAGCACTGGTGCTATCCACCTCTCTCTCTCTTGCACACCTAGGGTTCATAGTATGCATCCCAGTGTGGACCTTATCCAGGTGTGGGGCACATTTGTTAAAGCTAGAGTAATGAGGGGCCATCGGGGCGAATCTCATTTATTTTTACAATCTATTTCTCTCTCTTTTTTTGCACTTGCAGAAGGCCTTTTAATCCAGCAGACACACCTGCAAATGGAAGAGGATGAGAGGTGATTCCCTCCTGCTGATTCTCCTGCCCCTTAAAGACCCAGTTCCCCCCACTCCACTGAAATAATTTCCAGAGAATTTCAGGACACTTCAGTCAAGCATGGAAGGTGTCACTGGAGGGATGCGTCTTGCAGGGAGAAATGCTTTTCCTCTTCTTCCATCAGCAGACACACCTGGATGAAAAGCCCTTCCAGGCATGAAAGGGCACCAAGTGGAATCCCCCCTTGAGCTTCTTGTTAACATTTATTTCCTGATTATCTACCAAGCCAAGAACTCACCATGGCTTGCAGCAGTCGTGGACTATAGCCGTAGTTCAGATGCAAGGAGTTAAATGCAACCCTTTAGCGTTTGTTAGCATAACTTTCCATCTGTTGATAGCAAAGGCTGGGGAGGCTCTGAACTGCTGATGCAGCAGTTAATGGGCCATTTCATTATTATTTCAGGTCTTTATCTTTTCCTTTCTCTGTAGGGATGTAACACACAAGTTTCTCCTGGAAAGACATTAAAAGAGAGTTTCTCTTGGCTAGCCTTAGGTAGCTCTTTTTCTGTTGTCCCAAATTTCTGTGACTGACGTCAGCGATAAGCTGGTTTTAATGGAAATCAGATCAGCCTCTGCCCTAATGTGTCAAAACAAGACGGCAATGTGGGGTGTGATATGATGACCAAGGTTAGGCTCTGCACCGGCCACATCAAAAGGAAAGAAATGTAAGGATGATCACCTGTGCCTAGAAAAATATCTGCTGCATCCTTTCCTCTTTCCTCGCCCTCCTGTATGCAGATCCAGCCTGACTCTGCTTTGCACTGGCACGTGGGCCCTGGAATGTTGCACAGGGGCTCATTGAGCTGCAAAATGTTCCAAACCCCTGTTCCACAGTGTCCCATAGGGGCCCTTGCCTCACCCCCAATCCATTACGAAAAAGAAAAAAAAAACCTTTCTAGCTTGCAAGGGACATATTATTACATGACTGATTCCCTCTTAAGAATACAGTGGTACCTCGGGTTAAGTACTTAATTTGTTCCGGAGGTCTGTTCTTAACTTGAAACTGTTCTTAACCTGAAGCACCACTTTAGCTAATGGGGCCTCCTGCTGCATGATTTCTGTTCTCATCCTGAAGCAAAGTTCTTAACCTGAAGCACTATTTCTGGGTT